ACACAGGAAAACTATATGTAATTCTGATGACAAAGAAAGATCACATAAAAGTGTAAAAATGAAGATTTCAACGAAGTCATACATCTTTGATTAACTTCAATTTTCTTAGAATTTTTTAGCAATGGTTCATGGAGAAGCTGGGAGAAAGAGAAAAGATGATTCTTTCATTACTGACCTGTATGAGTTCTAAGATGCACAGTTAGCTGAGATCCATCCCTAGCACTATAAGAACAGAGCTGACATCTGAAAACCAAGAAAAAACTATATAAATAATATATCAAAACTGCCAGTTAAATTGTTACTTTCAAAGGTTCTTCAGAAACCATAATAACAACAATAATAACAATAATAATAATAATAAAAAAAAAAAAAATAATAACAATAATAATAATAATAGATTATTGTCGCAAGCTATACCCAATTAGAAAGGAAAACTCATTCAAAGTCTGTGATTATAACATCTCTGTAGCTTTGGATGATGTTAGCTGCTATAACTTGCTGTGGCTATCTCCTGCTGGGTATTCTCTGGTTCTAAGTGGCTACAGAGAAAGATAAAAACAGAGAAGCTGTTGGATATGCTGAGATGATTAGCCCACTTTGATTTTTTTTGTTGTTCAACACACTTGCTTGTAGTTAAAGGGCATAGTCACTGAGTTTATTGTAGTATTTTGCTTAATTAACAGTTGTATAATTATGGTGGCCTAAACTTATCAAGTAAACAAGCATACTAACAGCCACACAGTGCATGTTGGTTGACATGACTACAATTGATTGTTTTTGTAAATTTCAAGGCAGCTACCATCACCCAAATGCTACTTATGAGATGCGCATTTTTCAGAATAACAGTACAATATTTAATTTGCATTATTACAATACACTGCTAACCATTAGAAAGTTACCTGTACAGCTGTCAATGTATTACTCTGGTAAGGAGAATGAAATATGCACACATTTCTGATTTTTAACCCAATGCTGCCAGAAAAAATGTGGTCACTAAAGTTTTGTTTTGTGAAAAACAAAACTTCAGTGAAATAGAAATAAATTAATCTTTCATGATTTTGGGAATATGTGTTCATGTAGCATACATATACTTAACCCAATGCCAGTTTGGATGTCATGTATGTACATGTCATGCCTGCTGTGAGTTTTATCTATTAGTTGTGTTTACACATAGGGGTTCCACAAGTACTTCATTACCAGAGTCAATTATCAAGAATCCTTGCCCTCTTGAGTTATATATTTTTTTAATAAGCATTTTTTTATTTTTTGTCACATTCCAGGGTCTATATTTGTCATTTGTTATACTGCATTAGGATGGTAACAGACTGTTTCCATAAAGCAAACTCCATATTTTTCTCTCGATAGGCTACAAGTCTGTGCAATAGCAATAATAATAAGAAATAAAAATAACTTTACTTATTGAGAACTCTCTTCCAAGTATCAGTGGGTTGAAAAGTTACCAACAGATCTATTTCTACAATTGTTATTCTATCATGGATTGTTGATATCCATTCTTGGCATGATGAACAGAGCCCAAAAGCTAGGTAGCAAGGATCCAAACCACACATGTCAACCTGCTCCAAGCTGTGTCCTAAGCATTTGTTAACTTGTTTGCCTCTAACTGCCATTGCTAAGGGACTAGAGCCCCTCATACCTAGGGTTAACCCAACAACTGAGGTATTAAAAAGGGGCTTGTAGCAAGCAAAATAAGGTTGTTGGAATGCATTGGCATTTTCCCCCCTTTCACAACTGGCCTGATCAGTACTTCAAGTACAACATTAGGCAATCAATAGCTTGTAGCTATATTTTAAACACCAAAGTTAATAAAGTGAAGGTCTTCCATTAATGTAACTACCTGTATCTAATATTGACATCAACAAATAATGTTGCTATTACTGAAGAAAAACAAACTCCCTTTGATAAGTGAGTGGTGCAGGATGTCATTATGCAATGCCATTCTACTTGGTCCACCATAACCATTACATAATTCCATGCCATCTGCTCTCAAAGGATTAAAGCCTTTTCTTATCCTCTTTTCCTGGAAAATCATGTACTGCAGCCTAAAATGCAGAGATCAGAGTAAATGGGTTTCCAGTACTTCTATTTTTTCACTCCAGCAGCTGAATGCATGCACAGCCTATGCATGTCTTGGTTTGGTACAAGAAAAATTCCTTACTGGATTAACCTGAGGCCAGGTACCACATGCAGTCACCCACTTGAGAAGAAAATTAGAAGTGCATGATACATAATATCCTGACTTCCTATGATTCTGACTGGGGCATATACAATTTTTCAAGCGTACAAGGTTAAAAAGTGACTGAGCCTACTTTTGCCTTAAACACTGCAGTAATGGTCAAACTAGTAAACAACTGTTTAGCACACACAACTGTCACATATATATATGGCATAGGTGTACATGACATCTGGAAAGGAGAGCAATCATGCCATGGCATATTCATGTATGTCAACTTTCACCAATGGGTTACAAATCTGAGAGAAAAGCCTTTCACACAAACACAAAGATTTTTGTTCAGAACTTCTTGTCTATTCTAAGTAAAACACAAAGATTTATGAAAGATTTTAGAGAGAGAGAGAGAGAGAGAGAGAGAGAGAGAGAGAGAGAGAGAGAGAGAGAGAGAGAGAGAGAGAGAGAGAGAGAGAGAGAGAGAGAGAGAGAGAGAAAGAGAAAGAGAAGAGAAAGAGAAAGAGAAAGAGAAAGAGAAAGAGAAAGAGAAAGAGAAGAGAGAGAGAGAGAGAGAGAGAAAGAGAAAGAGAAGAGAAAAGAGAAAGAGAAAGAGAAAGAGAAAGAGAGAGAAAGAGAAAGAGAAGAGAAAGAGAAAGAGAAAGAGAGAGAGAAAGAGAGAGAGAAAGAGAGAGAGAAAGAGAAAGAGAGAGAGAAAGAGAAGAGAGAAAGAGAAAAGAGAAAGAGAAAGAGAAAGAGAAAGAGAAAGAGAGAGAGAGAGAGAGAGAAGAGAGAGAGAGAGAGAGAGAGAGAGAGAGAGAGAGAGAGAGAGAGAGAGAGAGAGAGAGAAAGAGAGAAAGAAGAGAGAGAGAGAGAGAGAGAGAGAGAGGGAGAGAGTGTCTGAGGGACAAGGGTTACCTTCCCGCGTCTCCACTGCTAGGGACCCGCGACCAGCGCTCGAAGCCACAAGACAATTGACCCAGCAGACTTGACCGAGGCCCACAGCCCTGACCACACCTCTCCTTGGGGGCGCTCCCCCACGCACGCCCCGCTCGGCGCCCCTCTTGGGCTTCCTTGCCCACAACAACCCGCTCTATGCTACCTTCCAGCCACCTCCTATCAATAAACAGCTGAACCAGAATTGTGTCTCCATAACCCACCAAATCAGGGCAACACAAAACCCCTGACAACTGGTGGCAAGCGGCGGAATGACACGAACAAGCCTTCGAAAAACTGCAAGTACACCATTGGCAATTTCCTTTTCTTTCCCCTTTCTTCGCCTATGTGTGCATGCCGTTTTTTTTTACAAGTGCAGTGTTTTTTTTTTCAAATATCTAAAGTGTTCTTGCAAAGTGCATTTTCTTTCTTTGGCATGTTTTATTGCTTAAATCTAACTCGGCTTAAATATTTCATTCATGTGGGTGAATATAACGTGCATTTTCTTTAAATTATTATCTATTTCTACGGCCATCGTAGGTCACGCGACTAAGTATTGCCATATTCTTGACTTTTTTCTTATTCTCATTATATCTCACTACATTAACATACGCCATATCGGCGTATGTTAACGCTTCCCACCTTCCCCCATCCCCCATCATCCTAAACCCCCCCTCCCTCTCTACCTAGGCCGCTAGCGTTAAATTAATTTATGTCGTGATAATTACTTAAAATAGTATTTCTTTTAACAGAACGCGTTAAAGTTTGGTAGCTGATGACCTGTCTTAATGACCTTTTCTGTCTTATTCTTTTTATTATCCGATATTAAGCTTCGAACGTTTTATATTTTTTATTTTCGTATGTTTATATGAATAAAGTGTTATATTCGTTTTATAGTGCGAATGACTTCACACATGGTTGTTCAGGTGAAATCAGGTCAGGTCCTATCAAGCGGTGTATACTTCACTTTTATAATGACCTGTATTATCCTCGTTTTTTTTTTCTTTTTACATTTAAGCTTATTTATATGTATATAATGTGATTTTATCATTATCCTGTTATCAACGTATTTACGACAGAGTGATGAATTTACTTCCGGTTTACATGAATATATTGAGAACTGTAATAATACTAGCATGATTCATCGAATTAAATAGTATGATTTTAAGTTATTTTTATGGTATATTTGTGCATATTCCGAAGTATGTTTCGCCTTAATTATTCGTCTTCATTATAGATATATTCTTTCTTTAATTATTCATGTTCATTTATTGGTAACTTGATTATTTAATTTCTAGATTATTGCATATATGTTTTAATTTCACAATATTTCATTTTACATATACTAGCTCTTGCTATTTTTAACGAATGTCCGAATAACGACCTTATTTGATCTTACTCACGTAGAAGGTACTTATAGCCATCTGATTCTGCTCAACCCAAAAATACTTTCAAGCTATTTGTATTTATATCTTATTCAATGATCTCCGTGTTAGAGATTAATTATATTATACAGCTACTACGATTTCATATTGTTCATGATTTTCGTTTATCATAATCACGAATCTCACCTCATCATTATTAAATGGTCCTTGGTGACGACTCACAGCTGGGTATGGGCATGTAATTAGGTTTAGGTAATTAATGTTATCATGTGCCGAGTCGCACATTTATCGCCCGGACGATCTCAGCGCCACGCGCCTTCTTATCGCTATACGTGAGATTATCGCTGGTATTCCCCAAGATGGGTATCCAATTGCGTTCTGCGTATGAGCTGGATGATATGTCCCTTCTACGGTTGGGTTGTCATATCATCACTTCCTTAGGGATTTTATTTTACGCCCACTCCACGCGGGAAACATTTTGTAGCCACATAAAAAAT